ACACACACAAGGCATTACTCAAGGACAACATTTACACAGAGGGAGAAGGACTGACACTTCCCACGAATGGAAAACAGATGACACCACTGGCCGAGTGAGAGGAGAAAACACAATTTACAGGGAGGAGGAAGAGATAAGGACAAAGCTCAGAGGGAGAAAGGAGCAAGACACAATTCACTTAGCGAAGAAAAATATGAGGACACATTTCAGATACAGAAGATACAGGAGGATGGAGAGAAGGGCGGAGCTCACACAGACCCAAAGAGGTAAGACAGAGAAAGGCAGGGCTGTGACTGTCAGACAACAAATAGCAGTTAAGAGAGGACACGAATCTCCAGATCCAAATCTAAAAGGTCTGGAATGAGACAACAACAAACAAACAAGAGACAGGTTTGTGCACAGCTGTAAACAATAGAGATCATGGCCAACTCATGCTCACTGTCAACATGTCAACTTTGTCAGTAGCCACTGGCCTCAGATTGTGACGTGCTGGGTATTTCAGCCTAAACCTAGCCAAACCAAAGTAGGAGCAACTTAAAGTGCAATAAATAGGTGTAAAGAGGGCTCAACAATTTGGCTTCTGGTTCTTTTTTGTGGAATTCTGTAGTTTTGTTGTTCCTTATTAAAATCAGTGCCTCAGAAAATGATGATATTTGGGTATACCTTGATTATTATTGTAGGGTCTCTAGCTTACAATATAAAGCATCTTGAGGTGGCTGTTGTTGTGATTTGGTGCTAAATAAATAAAATTAAATACAATTAAAATATGACGAGACCGGGTTTCTAACCAAGCATCAACTTGTGATGTCTTGGGAATGAGAATATGTGGCTTCACCCACACCTCACCTGCTTGCCATAGGTACCTGTCCTCTTCTGTTTTCCTCCAGACTTTGTCTTCTATCTAAGCCTTGCTCATGTGCTTCCTGTGCAAGAGATGGATCCCAGATAATCATCCCCAGTCTTTGTGTCTATCCCAACAACCTGTTCTTCCTTCACATCTTTACTTGCATTCTTTCATTGTCACTTGATGTCATTAAAACTTTTAAAGTTTGCAAGAAAAATGATTTCAGCTGCAAGAATGTGCCTCAACTTCAAATTCTAACTTTTTGTTGTTGTTGTCTAGCTGTGCCTTCTCAGCTGCTGCCAAATCAGACTTGTCTTCCGGTCCGAAAAGACATCTCGGACATCGCTACACCTCCTCCCACCCGGGGAACTGTTTCTACCCCACATCCTCCTCCAGTCAGCCCACTCAGCACCACTCTGACAGACATAATGTCGACTGTCACCAACATAACACTCACCAAATAGCACCCAGTGCAAATGTTCAAGCCTCTGAAACCAGCTTCCAGGTGCCAGAAAATTCTAAGCCCAGACCAGAGCGCATGGGCTGGACCAAAGTTTGGCCAGGCCCAGGAGAGGCCAGCTCTGCTTTCTGGAGCTCTGCTGGTGCTGAGGAAGAGGGTGCAGTGCCAGAAACAGCCAGTGGGGGCAGCAGTGAGGGTCAGGAGGAGAGCACCCCTTCCGCCTATGACAATCTGAGCAAAGTGTCTCTACACCCACCGATGATGGATGTCACTGATGGACATTTGAAAATGAACTCTTCCGGAGGCCACATTGGAACTGGTGAAGATGAGGCAGAGCTTGAAGAAGTGGAGCACACGAGGGATTCCTCTTCATGGTCTTCCTGCGAGGTTTTACCATTGGATGAAAGCAGTGATGATGTCGGTGTAGTTAGTCCAGTCAGAAATGGAGGGTTGCCTTCAAATCAGGAAGCAGAGAAGGAAAACAGTGACAAAGACGATCATGAAGATGGCAACGAGGATGATGATGAAAACAGTGATAACGACCATGACGACCACACCCACCACCCAAACTCTCCAGCCTCGGGTTCAGTACGCAGTGGCAGCCCTCTTAGTACAGGCAGCTCAGATGTCTTCCTTCCCTCAGGTTCTCCTGATCTCCAGGGGGCTGAAGATCATCTACAACCCAGGGACACCCACTCACTCCTGGATGAGCTGCGGCAAAGGATGGCCCAGCAGAAGTCTGAGTACCAGACCAGGATACAGAGGTGAGACACCTTCAGTGTATTCAATTCAGTTTATCTATATAGTGCCAAATCATGTTGCCTGAAAGCACTTTAAGATGAAGAGCCAACAATAATGGAAATCACAACAATCAGACAACCACCTATGAGAAAGCACTCGACAACAGTGGCAAGGAAAAACTCCCTTGTAACAGAATCAGCATAAATGATCCTATATAATGTGTGGTGTGCCACCAGTGTTTGCTTAAAGCCTTCACCACGTTTTATGGTGTCTCTGCAGGTTGGAGCGCTGCAATGACGTCCTTGAGAGGCAGGTTGCAGTCCTGCGGGCCAGCCTGGAGCAGCAGAAGCGCAGCCAAAGTGTTGCTGAAATCAAGATTCGCAAGATGGAGCGAGCCAAAGCAGACGCCGACCGCCGAAACACCAAACTGCAGAGAGACATGGAGCTGTTTTTCCAGATGTATGGAGATATCAGGAGAAGTGAAGAAGACAAAAAAGGGAGAGTAGGAGGGAGTATCTGAAGATGTGTATTGACAGATCTGGATAAGCCTGCAATGGAGGGCACTAAACAGTGTGAAAGGAGGAGGGAGAGAAAGACGCTCTCAGCATGGACGTCGACCTTCTCCAAGTTGAAAACGTCACAGATGACCCACACATCTGAGATGCTTGGATTACGATGTGTTATGACCACATGTCAGAGAATTCCAGCTTTGTTCACTTTTTGTGTCCATGTAGTAGAGGGAACACTAATGCTGGTCTTCTCTAAAACTATGCTTAGGTGGACTGCTCGATCTATCGCTGCCTAGTTACTCGACTTTCTTCTTGGATTTTCAGGCTGCTGCAGAGTCACAGATACACCTCAGAGATATTCTAACACGAGCTTCCTGACGTGGATTATGACCTGACATATGAGGAATATGTCAGGATATTCAGAAAGACAGAACTCAGGTGACCAGATCCCAAAAAACAAATGTAGGACAAAGACTGTTTGTGTGGAACAATGTGGGACGCATAATCTAGAATTTTGATATTGATTTGACTTTCCCAGCGTTTCCTGCTGAGTAAACAGTAACCATAAAGAGAAGCTAAAGTGCTTTTTCAGTGATCATCTCTAGGTTGTTGTTGGCATGCATCCATAAACCACATAGATCTTTTTGAACAAGCTCACATGCACTTTCATATTTTTCATCCTACAAAATTAAAAAACCTTTCACCAAAATGTCTTTCATCAAAGTGAGCCGGTATCAACTTTGTTGTCCTAAATGGAAAGACTGGTTCGAAATAACATTTGTTTCACAGGTCAAATCATCAGAGCAGTCTGGGTTACTTTGTAAAGATCTTGGAGTCAGGTGGACCAACACTGGCTGACAGACTGTTTTACGTCATGTATGGACTGGATGTGGTTAAACATGACTTCTGTTTTTTAGGGAACTAGACTGACACATGCTGCAGGAAATCTCTGAGGCTCGAGATGCACTGCAACAGAAGCAGAGGGGAAATGTTTTTCTTTCTACAGTGTAGTGTGCCAAATAACTTGAAGACTGCATGATGATGCATTTCCAAATAACAATAAAAAAAAAAAACTTGTTAAAATAAAAACTTGATTTTTCTTTCTTTGTTGCCCGTCAGTCAGCCACAGACTTTCTATAAAAGGAAGATGTAGCACTTCTTCAGAACTTTAAAGATGTCAACTGAAACAGAGTGGATGTTAACTGAACCTAAACCCAAACCTTAGATGGGTTACAAGTTGGCATCCTAACATCCACCAGCTAACAAAAAACACCAACAACAGCTGTATATAAAAGACCGTAGTTGTTTCTGGATCTATAAAAATTAAGCTAAATTAAATTCATAGTTATAAAACAGGAGACCACTATAACTGTAAATGGATCTATAATTGCAATAAACACTGCTGTTGAGTGTATCGTCTCAATCAGGAGTTTAAAGTCTGCAAAATGTTCATTTTGGAAATTATGGTAACATTTAGAGCTTAAAAGCACGATAAAGCAGAATGTGGGAGATAAACAACTATTAAGTGATGTCACTGTGCGTATATAACTGCTTTTATTTTAGATATAAAATGAACAGATAAATGTAACTGTTCTGGCAGGAGGGTCCGTTTAAAATGTTTGACGAAACAGATTTTAAACACACACAATGAACACTTGACTCCTGTGTGGCTGATGAGAGTGTAACATTTATTCAGGAAATCCAGGAAAACTTCTTTGAACCATTAATTGGTAAAAAACAAAACAAAAAACCAAACAAACATTACTTCAGTCACTACTACAGAGTCACACGTACATACAGAGGAGGTTCGGTTCTGATGCTTCGGTCTGGAGGAAGATTCAAAGGGTCACACTTTAAACACAAAGCACTTGTGAACATAAAAATAACAGCAAAAAAACAAAAAAAATAGCTACACATCTAACAACAGTGTGGCGTTTGCTTTTGTGTCCAGGGTTGTTCACACAGGACCAAAAGGAAACAACATGTGACTAAACACCACAGCAGAGTTACAGGTGGCAGATGACATGGACTTTGAACTTTCCACTTCATGAAATCGTCCACTGCTGTGTTACAAAACACGCCAAATCTATTCCCAACAAAGGGACCGTTTCCACTTCATAACAAGAGTGCATCATCAGTAACTCCAACCAGGATCTACCTTTTCATTTAGCGGTGGAACTACAGCGCCCAGTATTTTCTAAGAAGCGTAGCATGCATCATCCTGCAGAGACTTTGCATATAACATCGATAATTACCAGTAAGCTAGCATTGTAGGACCACTAAGAGAAGTAAAATAAAACCTTGCATTACATTTACTTCCTTGTATATTAAGGCCTTTTAGAGATGAAGAACATTTGTTTGCACACTGTTGCAACTGGGGAGAACACCCCCCAACAAAAAAAACTGCCAAAAGCAGAAAGAGCATCGGTGAAGGTTTCTGCAGGATGCTCACTGGGCACACATCAGCTAATAAGCACTAACTACAAACAGGAATTCTTCCCATCGTTTAGCTTTTCTTCCTAAATTTACTAAGATAGTTTTTTCTCATACCCAAAAAGGGAATAAAATCTTTTGCAAAAGAGGAAGTGGAAAAAAAAACAAGCAAACTTCAATCTATACATTAAATATCCCACAAAACAAAACAAAAACCATTTTCTGCAAAAGAAATAACTGGAACGTTCGAGGAGGAGCCTGACAATTTTCCTGAGACAAAACTTGTTACAATATAATTAGAGAATCGTTGTCTGTTTATTTTGTCTGATACTGAACTGCACCCGAGAAATTTATTATTTATTCATCCCAAAATGGAAGAAAAATATTTTAGTGACAGGCAGAACATATCAGAGGAAGCTTTAGCATCGTTACCCTGGAGGGCTGCGTGACAGCAGAGGGTCTGGGGTTGAGTTAGAAGTTATGATGAGGATAAAGTGCGTTAGTATATGATACTTATAAACTTGGATCGCAACCATCTTCAGTTTCAGCTTCAGCTTCACCAACATAAGCTCTTCACTTCATTGTGGGGTGATTCATGCTGACCTGGTTGGTCAATGCGTTTGATTTTACATCCAAGAAACACTGAATATGCATCACGGTTTTCTTTTTTGTTTTTCAAATGTATATACCATGTTTGTTTTTAAATGGGAAAGATGGTGGACAGCACAGTGGTTATCTTAAGTGGTTAGAGCTGCTGTTAAAAGGTCCCATGAAATAGTTTAAGTTCCACAGTTGATATTTCAAAAATATTTACATAAAGCTGCTCGCCCCCAAATCTATGGAGGAATGGGAAAAGTCATTACCAGCATAATTTCAGGTCAGAGACGTTTAAGCCTTTGGATAACGTGGGGGAAAAAAAAAAAAGATCTAAATTGAAACATGATTGCAAGAGTTCTTCTCTGGCAGGTCAGATGATAATCAGTCAGTTAGTCAGATTTACTGGTCCACTTTTATTTTGAGGCAAAACCACAAGCTTGGATTAACTGACCAAAACCACAAAAGCCGGATTATTACAGTAATTAAAGGTCAAACGTGATTAGGAGGTCTGTCTGTAAATTGTGATGTTTGACCGTCAGTTTGGGTGCTTAGCTTACAGCTCAGCCACCCTGCCACCTAAATTAGACTAAGTGGAGGTTTGTTTACAACGTTCTCCATCAAACTCCTGTGTGGCAAATAGTGTTGCACTTGCAGATCCAAGGTAGGTACTTGGTGGGTTAAATTATGGCTTAACGACAGAAATTTATACAGGATTGTTTAGGCAGTGCAAAATCTGTTGGATTTATATTTGGAAGAGTAACCGGACCTCGTTAATAACCTAAACACGGTAACATTTGAAAAGATTTGGACTTAAAAAAAAGAAAACAAGGAGAACTGGAATACACTGAACTAAGCACGAGGACGTCATCATTTCATGGGACCTGTGGTGTCTGTGCGTCAGGCAGTCTGCGTTCTCAGAAGCCGGAGGGCGTCAGGATGTTCATATCTCTCGGTTTGAGCTTGTGTGTTCGGGTTCCATGCCGCCGACCCTCCACCGTGGGAATCTCCATTGTTGGTGGAGACACCTTCTGAATGGAAGCGCTGTCGGCCAGTCGAGCCTGCGTCTTCATCACCTCCATCGGGGTCGGCTTCTGAGCGCCACGGTACGCCTGCAGAGCAAAGCCTGCTGGGAAAAAAAGATGATAATACAACTTGCAAGAGGCTCAGAAGGTGGTTGATATAAAGTGACAATATTTTAAAAAATAAAAATCAATACATTTTAAACATTTTACAACATGTGTCCACAAATAACGGTTTCTTTTTAAATTATTATCTCTTTGAATTCATTGTCAGAGCCAATTAATAAAAATAAATAATTCCCATTATAACACAGACACACAACCCACACCACCAAAACCCCCCAAAATAAAACAAACACACCCAAAACTACTTCTCCATCTTCAAGAAAACCCCCTCAGCCTAATTTAATCTCTTACCCCCCCCCAAAAAAACAAAAATAACAATAGTAATAATAATAACAATAATAATAATAATAATAATAATAATAATAATAATAAAGAATCTGATTCTCCCACCACACTATAAATATAAAGCAGCTGTCTGGTTTTTTTTGATTTTTTTAAACAAACTCTAAAAGTTGTGAAATTCTGAAAGAAACGTCTTTTGAAAGAAAAAAATTCTTTAAGCTGTAAAAAATCTCATTCACTCAGGTCCCTGCAAACATTACTTTTCTCGGGTTACCTACCGAAAGTCATCCTGGGAAGAAGATTTTAAAAGTCTCTGATTCAAACTGAACATCCCACATGTAAAGACCTAAACGCAGTTTCTCAAAAGTCATCGGTGAGCTGTAGTTTTATATCAATGCGATGAAGAAATCTCAGCTCGCCATTGCTAAAAGCCAATGACTGATCAGTCTCTCAGGGTTGTCAGCCCTGAATGTTGTTCAGTGTTTACTGTCAGTCTGAAGTTCATTCAATCACCCATTAACCCCACTCCTGGACTGAACTGGTCATATGGGCCTTTGTTCTTCCATAGTGAGGGGTTATTTTAGTTTCTTACCGCAGCGCTTCATGTTTGTACTCTTTATTTTGTTTATTGTATTGAACACGTCTCATGGGAATTCTGAGGAGAACCTTTTTCCAGTTTTGTTTACACAAGACAAGCAAACACTCAAGTCATTTCCACAGGCTTCACACTGAGGCTGTGCTGTTACCTGCAGTTGTGGAGTCTGATCCCAGGTCAGAGGTCGACTTATGGACAGGTGGTCGAGGTCCAAAGACACCCCATCGTTCCACTACACCTCCTCCTCCTCCCCCGACGTCTACTCCAGCCATGTCCAAACTGCTGTTGGAGGAGGAGGCAATACTGAGCTCTGAACTCGAACTGCCGAACCAGCCTCTTCACAAACACACAAAGTGTAAATACGGTTAGGTTTTTAGCATTTATCACATTGTTGGGTTTAGACGGGCAGGCTGATAACCTGAGGACACTGAGTGTAAGTGTGTGGTTGTACCTGCGCTGTGATTTAGGGGAGCTGTGTGGTGTGTTGGATGGAGTGGAGTGGGCGGAGGAGCTCTGGCGCTCTTCCTTGGCCTCCATGCTCTGGATCTGGAGTTTCTGCAATAGAAACAACAAAACACACTGTAAACCTTTGACCTCTGTGAAAATGTAACAGTTACTTTACTCACTTTGAAACAAACATGCTGCTTGCAGGGCAAATGCTTTTATTTGTATTGTATTTATTTTTATACCAGGGACAACACATAAATAACATTGCATTTAAACAAAAATGCAACCGACACAGTATATGTAGGACTTCTAGCCACAGCTAATTTGCAGACTATGACCCTGGTTAGGCTTTTTAAGGATTTGTAATAACAAGTAACTAAGGCAGAACACCCTGAAGCATGGGAAATTGAAGAGAAAGAGGAAGTGTTTGAAACAGCAGTTCCTCCAAAGGCAACGTCAGGTCATCATTGGATCCTTGCTAAATCCAGAATCCATATTTAAAATCCTCCTCCTCACATATAAGTACTTGAATAATCCTTCCCCATCTTATCTTAAAGACCTTGTAGTACAGCATCACTCCAACAGAGCACTTCTCTACAGTGTTTAAAAGTAGAATGGGAGGCAGAGCCTTCAGCTATTAGGCCTTCTATTCTGAGGAAACGGCTCCCAGTTTAATTTGGGAAACAAACACCGTCTCTACTTTTAAGATAAAGCTTTTGTTAAAGCATATAGTTGGGGCTGGATCCAGTGACACTGAATCCTGTCTTAGTGACGCTGCAACAGGTCTAGGCTGAAAGAAGTTTCCCATGATGCACTTCACTCGCCTCTTTCACTCACTAAGTGTTTATACACCTCTCTGCATTTAATGATTAGTGATTATTAATTTCCACCTCGCTCCTACAGTGTCAATTTTGTCCCGTCTTCCTCCCATCATTCTCAACTGGTCGTGGCAGATTGCTGCCACTCTCCGAGCTTGGTTCTGCAGGAGTTTTTTTCCTGTTAAAAGGGAGTTTTTCCTTCCCACTGTTGCCAACTGCTTGCTCATAGTGGGTTGTCTGATTGTTGAGGTTTTCCTCTCTGTTATTGTAACAATATAAAGCACCTTGAGGTGACTGTTGTTTTAATGTGGCATTATATATAAAAAAAAAATTAAATAGAAGTTTCTTCCAAATATTATGGTCTCCTGCACGTGTGCACGCACATTGGCTTCCTTTGTTAGTTTTCGGTTCCCTGCTGGGTATCATCTATGTGCAGTCTATTGTAATATCATTCTAAAAACAGCTGGAGCCCTTTGATAATAAACTCCCACTAAGACAGTAGAACTGGTGAGCCAAACAAGAATTAAATGATACAGCCTAAAACCAGTAACAACAGGTGCAGTAGCTTTACTTCTGATGATCACGAGCATTGGATACGGCCATAAATGATTTTTTTTGGGTTTAATGCATATTTGCTGATGACTGGCACTGGTCTTTTCTCAGTGGGAATTTATGGATTCAGTTCCACGTTGCACATTTAATTGGTGGAAACAGTTATGCGAGCAATCTCGTTAGACATCAACCAGGTTGGTGGCATAAAGTAAAAATTTAATTCAAGGCTGATTTAACAACCATGAGAAATAATCAGCTGCATTTTGGGTGCACATGGGTTACACGTGTGTCTGACCTGGATTGTTTCGGGCACGCGATGGTGATGTCTCGTTTCCTCAGCAGTGAGGCCTTTGTGGGGTGTGTAGCCGGTGTCAGAGAGCCCTGCCGTCTGCTCAAACTTATACACGCTATCCTGAGTTTGCTCTGAAACAGAGAAAAGCAGTTTGATTCTAATGTGAATGCATTTTCATGCACAATTATTATAAATTCAAACAATGAGTAAACAAGCTACTTTGTACCAGAACTTTTTCTGTAAGTTTGCATATTTTCTTCTTACAAATTAATCCTAAAGTATTTAATTAAATTACATTGTCTGTACCACTTCGTCCAGTCCATGATGTAAAATCATTTCTGCTATAGTATTTGATCAAACTTGTCAAGAACACTCACTCAGATAAATGCACCCTTAATACAGAATATCATCATTAACAGGAGTAACATACTGTTGATGAGAGAATTCATGATGATGGAAGAAGCCTTGGTTTTCACCACAGCTTGTGGTCTAGAGGCTCCAGTGTCCTGCGCTGCAGACTGACTCGCATCACTCTCATCCTCCTGGTGAGAAAACATCATCAGCACCCACGCACTGAAAATACGGGCAGTTTAATAGTAAAGCAGCGTGTCTCACCTCAGCCAGGTGTGTGAACTTCCTTTCGGGTATGATTGGTCGTTTCCACAGGTTGTTGATACTGATGTCATGAGGCGGTGTGGACATGGGGGCCTCCAGATTATCGTCATAGCTGATGGCACGCCGGGTCATTCCGACAGGAAGCTTCATCCCACCCATCCCAGATCCCTCGATGGCTGCAAACACAAAAAATAATCCCAATGGGGACTAAACACCAGCTCTCCCTCGTCTAGTGCAGTCTCCAAAATCATTCTGAGATGCGTTTTAGCAGGATTTCCCACATTCACTGCTTGAGATTGTGGTTCAATCTTCATATTGTGTCAGACTGTAGCCCTGAAGCTTACCTACAGGTTCATGACAATGCATGTCCCCTACATGGTCAGTTCAGACGTAAGCTGACCTTTTACCTGCTCAGAACATGTCGTGTTAGACTGTGCAGTTGTGGAAACGCCACAGCTAATTATCTATCATGTACCCTGCCTTCTGCCCTCTCCACCATGCCTAAAACACATGGATTATTTAAAATACTATAAATATTGCTAAGGCAGAAAATCCTGCTGTGTGAGAAAAGACACCTGTGGATACACCCTGACCCAATTCTCCCAATCCCCCCCCCCAAAAAAAACAAACAAAAAACAAACCCAAAAAACATGTTTGGTATATAAACCTTAGAACAGTGCGTATTTATAGGTTTTCTAATGTTTACATCATATTGATTGACTGTTGAGAAATATCTGCTACTGCTGGAAGTTCCAGTTTCAGGCAAATGTTGTGATAAGCATCTGTTTTGTTAATGTTCGTGTCAGGAACAATAATAAACCATAGTACATACAGATATTAATAGTTGATGAACGTGTGTGATTCAGCGTGGGACTCACTATAAATGTGTTAACTTGAAATCTGCTCAGCTGCGTTTGGTGGGGAAGACAAAACAATGTGTGCAATCCTTTTATATGTGGACAGGAACATGCTGAACTTTTTGCACATTAACATGCAACTGAGAATTAATCATACGGCATCCTGGCAGTTACCCTATTCACTTCATCCCAGTGATGTGAAATGAGTGGGGAAACTATTTTTGGACCTACAGAAGTTACAGTCTATTACATCAATTTACTAATAAATCAGTATCTCAGTATATTTGTATACGTGTCTGTTCTTTGTCTACTTCGACAATCATTTAGCTTATCAGCTTCAGACAGAGAATGTGGTTGCCGAGGGCATGGTTGTTTGGATGAGCTGCTGTAAGCTGTTCTGTTACCAGAGATATCTGGAGAGCAACTGCTCAATGCACCACTGTGTGCAGGGCATTGACTCCCAAACTGTAGGGTGGGCGTGAAGCCACTGTGAGTGCCTTCATATGGACAATGAAGTGGAAAACATGGAAGTGAAACAAAGGCAAATTATTTGATCATTTTTTAATTCTCTCCTTGTAAGGATGAGAGATGCCAAAATTATGCAATTTTTCTCAGCAATATGCTGCAAAGACAAGCGTGCTGATTAGATATTCAACTTCATTTTATTCAATTAAGCATCTGTGAAGTATGGTTTGCTGCTACAAATCGAAGCTTAAAATATGCCACATTTCTCCCCAAGTTTCATTTATTCTGCATGACTCATTTATAAAAAATATCATGCTTTAAACTAAACTCTGTAGAAAAACAAAAACAACTCCTGATCTCTTAACCACAACTAAGAAACCATGACTGGCAACAGTCACATGCCAACAATTTGCATTGGGAGGAAAACTTGAACATATGCAAAAAATAAAATAATGGAACAAAGCTCAAAAACGGTATAAAGAGGAGAAAGTTACAAACGGGTTGTTAAAATGTAACTTTCAGGAGCAATGACGTCAGAAAGCCCGTCATTACCCGCAGCAATTTTCACACCTTAAAAAAAAAAACGAAAAAACAAACAAAAACAAAACACTTTCGTTAACATAGTTAATGTTTGCAAAGAAAAGGTAAAAAAAGTATAAACTCAAATCCATGTCCTCTCTTAAACCTGACCTTGTTGAATTAAATCCACCTGACACTTTTGCACTTAAGCAACAACTGAAAATTAAATTTAAAAGCATAATTTAAAATATATAAAGTCTAAAAATATTAAGCCAGCACTGACTTTTTGTTTTGACCCGGACCCAAATGACAGTCTCCCGTGTTAAAAAGGGTCCATTCATCCAACCGCAGCCTGCTCCTTACACTGCTTCTCTTTATATCAGCTCACCTGACTTCTGAAGGCAAAACTTCAGAAGAACGCCCCCCACCCCACAAACATCAACCATGTGTTAAGAAAGCTTTTTCAAGTTTTCCTTTTGGTAAAAAGCCTCGAAGATAATCATCTGTAACATGTTAAAAAAATTAAAAAAATAAAAGGGTTGTGTCATCTGTGGATACAAAATATTGCATTACACACCCACAATTACCACTTGCGACACTAGTTTTAACGTTTTTAAGGTTATGACATCTCAACTATGTGGCTGGTATGATATGTAGCGCTGATCCTGGAACAATATTAATCATCCAGTTGCAGGAACAACACAAACATGGGGAAATCCAGTATGTCATACTGGCACCATGAGAACTAAGCCTTACATTTAGGTTTACGGTTAAGGGTAAGTCCCCAAAAAAAGAAAAAAAAGAGTCTAACTTTTAACTTTGTCTAACTGACAAATGGCTTCATTCATGTTGCTTGGACAAAGCTTGTTCAACCACCTTTCAAGCAGGAAAAAAATGATTCATGTAGCCAACAACTGCAGGTGTCCTCTTATCAAAACAGCAACTTCATGATTGCCTGCATGTTACACATCTAGAGGAAATATTCTTGTAGCTAGAAGTATTAAAACAAGGCTTACACTCTTCCCAAACAGGCAACAATACAACGAAATAAAAGCCTTATTCGGATGCTTCTACATAGCTGCAAGCGCACTATTCTATCTGCATACATGAACAGAATGGCCCAAATCTAACAATGGAAAACTAGTCCTGACTGAAGTTTGAATACTCCTGTCATAGGAATTACTCACCTGGTAAATCTCCAGAACCAGACATGGTTGGAGTAAAGATGAGGAACAAGTTAGACCAGAATAGGACCTAAAAAAGAAGAAAGGAGATTCAACATGTGTTTTTTCCATAAATATTTACCCCCCTCTGATTAAAACCGCAACCCATAAACAAAGAGTAGAACAGTGGTTGACAGGCTCCTACCTTCCCGTTTTGCTGCACTGGTGTAAACTAGGTGGTTTGGTGGATTTTGTTATGATGGTTGGTGAGACACACAGAAACGCCTCTGGCAATGCATTGTGGGAGAGCAGCAAGGCCAGCAGAGCAACTACAGACACCAGAGTTCAAAAGGTCAGCTGTGAGAAATTTCAGTTTGACGGCAAACCCTTGTTACACTAAATTAAGAGAGGTTGAACATCCTTCGTCGAATACGACAACAATACTTTATGAAACTGTAATGTTGTAAAAAATGTATTTTAAGGCATGAAAGAGCGCAAAACCAACTATCATCTCAAAGTGAAAGAGAAACATCTAGTGCTACCGAGAAAGATAGTGAAATGAATGAGCACAGACCATTATCCTGTTCTGTAACACTGACATAGCCACCGCTTGCCTGCAGGATTATTCCAGAGGATGATTGCAGACAGGCTGCATTACATAATCCCTGCTGCAGCAGCAAGGTGCATGCAACACCGGTAATGACCACTTCAAAATAAAAGCTTAGATTTCAATCAGGCACACGCTGAAGGTTTCCTTAAACACACATTTCCTACCACATGGAACAAAAACATGCACGCCATACCCTCCAACACTGTAAACACGACGGCTGGGAGGATGCAGAGGTGACTGACTGGTGATCTTGGAAATAAACAAACTGCGACCTCTTCCGGGACAATTTCTCAAACTATCATGCAGAAATTTATCTGTCTGAGAATTTCAATCACAGGGTGAATTAAAAGAAGCTTAAAGCAGATATATGGAGAAATCGTCACAGGGTTAGCCGTAATAAAGGCCACTGCCCCTGCACACGCAGAACTCCACTGAGGAAATTCGTATAAAGGTAACCGCCCCATGCCTGTACAATTGCTTTTGGGATAACATATTATCATGATTTTAAATTCAGAAGCTAATGAGCCAATAGCATGCCATGAGATTCCTGCACGCTGATAATGTGCAGGTCAAAGAGAATAGATAGGTCTATAACAATTTAGCATAGCTTCACTAAAACTGGTGCAGTTTGGCACGTTTTGAACCTTCCCGAATTTGAGAGTGGTTGTTACATATTCACAAAAAGCCTAGCACTGAGTTTTTCACGTTTACAAAACAAACCAAAACCTGCCGCATAGTTCAGTTATTTATTTTCTGAGTGGAGTCTGGCGGAACGAGATAGCGGAACCAGTCTGAGCTGGACAAAAAGACACAAAACAGCTGGCGACTGACGGTATTTTAAAACGGTTTTATCAGCAAAGTTAGCATTGCTTTGTTTGCCTTTTCTTACCGGAGGTAATGACGGCTTCAAAGTGACGATTGAAATATGGATGACCCTCCAATGTCGACCAGCGCGCGAAGAGAACAACAGACTTGTTGGGTAGCAGCCATTATTGGGTTCGATAAATAACAGCCGCTTCCTTGACGGTTCCCTTTTCTTGTACTCGCGCATTCTCATCTCATCGCGAGAATTGGCCTTCACACGTGTGCCTTTCCGTACTTGTGAGGACACTGTCACAGTCATTGGGTGTAACGCAGTACCTGTAACAGTAACTACAAATAAAAACAATTTCTACTTCAAAAAACGTTTTTTGCTTTGTTATGTTTTATTAAAATAACCTCTTATATTTTGGAGATTAAATATGCAATAAAAATCTGAATAATAATAATTATTATCTCAGAAAAGTGTTGCCTGCCCACCTCTCCCCATAAAGGGAATTTAAACATACAACAACAACAACAACAACAACAACAATAATTATCATTATTATCATTATTATTATTATGATTATTATTAATAATCATAATAATCATAATAATAATAACATTTATTCAAATAAATATCTTGAAGTTGCACAGTAAATATAACTTACAGGATATATTACACCAAAAAAAAAAAAAAAAGCCCAAAAGCTACATCTCAGACTCTACAGGTTTCGGTTAGCATGCTAAATGTTCATGAGAGGGGAATTAGAAAAATACTAAACAAGTATGGTTTGTATGGTTTGTTTGGGAAGGTTTCAAGGAGAAATCCTCTTCTTTCTCTCAAACTACAACAACAAAAACAACAACAACAACATGGCAGCACAACTTAGGTTTCCAAAGTTACATGTGAGCAAACCACAAGACTTGTGTGACCAGACCAAAGTGGAGATGATTGGCTACTGTCTTAATTCAGTAAGCCAGCAAAAACAAAAATAAAATAAGGGCAAACATTATGAAATAAATAATATTGTTAAACAGAAAGGAGACAAGAGGAGAGGAAGTGAAGAAGAGAGTGTGTGGAGAGTGATGATTTGTGACAGACAGCAGCAACAGTGAAAAGAAAGGTTTACAACATGGTAGTGAGAATTGCTATGATGGATGGTTTGGAAATGGTTTTTACACTTTGAAGAAGACAGGAAGTCGAGCTGGAGGTTGCAGCGGTGAAGATGTTAGAATTTTCATTGGAAGTAACCTGAAGGGGGAAGGTGGATACATCAGAGGGACAGCCCAGGTAGAGCAGTTTGGTGACAAAAGATAGAGAGGCAAGCCTGAGCTGGTTTGGACATGTGCAGAGGTAGAACAGAGGAAACACTGGATGTAGGATGCTGAATGTTGGATGTAGTGAAGGAGGACACGCAGAAGGTTGGTGTGGCACAGGAGGATGCTAGGGATAGGGCGGGATAACCTGATGATCAGCTGTGGCAACCCAGTATTACAGGAAAGAGTGCAACAGCATGGTTCAAGATAATGCATCTTATTAAAGAGTTATATTATTAAATTGTTTAACCAGCATTTAAATGCTAGAAGCAAAGAAATATCTGTTATTTTGAGTAAAGGCAAGAGAAATAATGCTACAAAGATTAATTTGCAGAGTTATTATTATTTTTATTTTATCAAGTCTCCTTTTGTATAAATTTAAAAAGAAAGTAAAGTTACACTTTTCAAATATGTGATTATGTAGATGTTAATAAAAACACAGCTAATGAGTAAAAAATTGTTACAAAACTAATAATACTGCAAACACTTCTACACTCTGCCTTTGGTCAAATATAATTTTACAGCAGTGCTGAACATTTTATGCAACCAATTTCACATAAACAAAAACTAAGCAACATCTTATTGTCATGAGTTTATATATACTCACTGATTTACTAAAACTTGTGCTTACATTTGAACTTACATTATGTGTAATTGTTTTAGTTGTTCAGTGTTTGTCTGTAACATAAGTGAGTGTTTGTCTCCGCCTAGCGGCTGACTTGCATCATTTTAATGTCAAACTTCACTGGCTACCTGCATTTTCTTCAGGTACAGCCTATATAAAGTCCAACCTGACATACAACACATTAATGAAAGGAGAACACCTCTTCAGCATTTAGCACAGGTGTACAGGTAAAGTGTTTGGCGGTGTTGGAGGAGCATGCAGCACACATTCCCCGCACAGCCAAGATCAGGGCGTGGTGGTAACTCGTTTATTACAGGTTACAAACTATGTGGCCATTGAGACGAAGCGCAGTCAGTTTGAACTTTGTAGGTCGTGAGCAGCGTTTTCGCCCTGCGCCTCCCACTTTGTGGCGCGCACACCAGGATTTGCATACAGAGGAGTAGAGCGCCCGCCTCCCTCAAGAGTTTGGTTTTCCTTTCCAAGCAGTACGTTTCTGACCAGACTTTGCTCGGCAGAGGTGGAAGTTAAACTCGGGTGGATCGACTCCTCCGCCCAGCCAGCGCTGACAGACCTGCTCTGTTTTATCCCGCTGTGCGTTTTCCCCACTTCAGCTGTCGCTCCGTCGGTTTTGTGACGTTCTGGGCCGATCCATCAAGATGTCTCAGATGAACAAGAAAACGATCACGACGACGACCAGCTTCAGGAATCTACAGGCCTCTCCGGAGCCGATGGTTACAAGGCTTGTCTCCCCCAGCCCTGTGTTCTCCGGGAGCTCCGTGTCGTCGGTGACACCGATGTCTCAGGTGTCTCAGGTGTCCGCGGTGCCGTACGCGGTAAACGGCGCCAGCTATGGGACGTTGCGGTACCTGGTGCCTGTGCAGCAGCAGCAGCAGCAGCAGTCCTTCGTCCTGATGCAGCAGCCTATGATGCAGCAGCCTGTGATGCAGCAGGTGGTGTCCCCGATGTACCTGCAGAATATGCAACAGCTGAGCATCAGCAACCAAAACGACTACATGTACCAGGATCTCAGCATGACAGAGGTGAGGTCATGCGCGCATTCAACCAGTATTCCCCCCACAACTCTTATTATTTAGTCAGTTCAAAAGTCTAAGAAATACTGGGAGGCAAACCAAAAAAGGAATATGGTTTACTGACAGCAACTAAGAATGAAGATTTCTTAAGATATGTTATTTGCAATACCCACAATAATCACCCACATTAAAGTCTTCTTTGTTGGTGTGATGCAAAACACCACAGAGAGTTTCCAAAACATGAGATCCTTGCAGAAGCTTCATTAGAAATCAGATATCTTCAGGCAGCACTTTCAGGGATTTCTTTTTAATATAAAAAGTACTTTTTTCCACCACTGCTTTTATATTACTTGTGTTTGTTTTCCATGTGTGTTTGAAATTAATCATCTGACATTTTAATGACCACTAAATTACTATCATTATTGGTTAACACAACAAAACACACCTTTCAACTTTTCATGTATTTTGAAATGTATTTTTCTTTGGACGCCTGGAATGTAAATGTGTCTCTAAAGCACATTCGGTTATCTTCTGTTATTTACATTAGATATAAATAAACTAGACATTTTTCATACTGTTATACTGTTATATGTTTGCATTTCCCCCAAAATAATTTATTTAACACAGTACAGTGGGCTACGTACTGACTGATTTCACTCACTAAAACTAAGCGTTTTACACATTAGAGATAAAAACACAAGCATAAAATGCTACATATGAGTATCAGTACAGATTTGGTGGTTTTGATGCAATCTATTAGATCTTGTGTTGGTATAAATCAGTTTCTGCTCACACATGGCTGTTAAGCATCTTTAGATGGGTGATTGGTTTAAGTTGCAGTCAGCTATCAGAGCAGGGAGGCTGCTGTGTGCAGATAGTATGGGTCAGCCATCAGGAAAGCATTAGCCATGTAAGCATGTTCCTAATATGGCATCAGCTTCTCATTTCTCTCACTGTGCTGTAAATTTTCTCAAGGCTCAGGTGATGTTTGTGCAGTTGAAGACACTTTTTCTGATTTGCTGGCATGAAGGAGGAATTTATATTTTTACTATGTAAATATAAAATTGAGCCTTTCCCATTTAATACGGGCGATCGTGGCTCAAAGAGTTGGCAGTTTGTCTTGTAACCGGAAGGTTGCGGGTTCGAGCCCCGGCTCGGACAGTCTCGGTCACCTATCACCTACTGGTGATGGCCAGAGGGGTCGATGGGGCGATATGGCAGCCTCTGTCAGTCTGCCCCAGGGCAGCTGTGGCTACAACTGTAGCTGCCTCCACCAGTGTGAGAGTGAATGAATAGTGGAATTGTAAAGCGCCTCGAGGGCCCCGAAAAGCGCTATATAAATGCAATCCATTATACTGCATATTAGTGATGGGAATTCTGGATCTTTCGGCTTGGCTCACTAAAAAGAGCCGGCTCTAAGGGCCGTTTCGTTCGCGACCGACACATCACTACTGCATATGCTATTTTTTTAAGTGGGGTTTAGCAGAGTGAAAATCTGTCATGTGTATCGCTTCATTAGATTAAAAACAATATGCAGAGTAAAGTAAATATCCAGAATAATGCCAGAAATCATTTAGTCGAAAATTCTTTAACATTATTTTATGTCTTTAAAGAAATGCATGAGTACATAAATACTTACTTGCATTACAGCAAGAACTTCTGTTCATTATATACAAACACAGAGAGCACAACCAATCGCTCACATTGAAGCTACACATGGAGGCCGTCGTACCGTGTCTGCAAAACATCTTCTAGAAGGGGGCTAGTAGACTTGTTGAATAACTGTTAGTAGTTGAGGTGGGGGTCTTTTCTTTAGATTTAAATACTCTGATTACAGTATTTAGTTTCCTTAACTGATTACCCAGTAAATTATTGCTGTGCTGAAAAGGCAGATAATGTATGACCCAGATGTTCAGGCTTCAGGCTCCTATTAATGCTCAGGTAAAGGCACTTTTTTCTGCTCTTAGCTCTTTATGAGGTCAGTTAGAAAGGAAAATAGTCATCTCAGGCACATGACTCTGGCTGTGAGAACAGCAGCACCATCCACTTGTAGTTAAAATCATCAGTTTGTAAGGTGAAGCCAATTAGAAGAAGCCACGGGCTAACTGATGAATAATTTTAATGGTGAAGTATACAAAGCTACTATAGTAGAGGTAAGAATAAAGTGCTTTAAATGTCTTGCATTATCTCCCCACATTTATTCAAGGATTAAGGAACTTTTGCCAGCTCGGCCCATTGCCAGTAAAACAAACAGCTTAAGGCTCGGTCGCTG